TCAGTCACGGAGCTCACACTTCTAATACTGCTATTACTACTACTACTACTACTAATAATAATTATTATTATTAGTAGTAGTAGTAATAGCAGTATTAGAAGTGTGAGCCGAGATAGCGTAGCCGGTATAGCAACTAGCGACGGGCTGGACGACCAAAAGGCCGGATCTCGAGTCCCAGTAGGGTCAAAAATTTTCTCTTCTCCACGTCGTTCAGACCGGCTCTGGGGTCCACCCAACCTCCTACGCAATGGGTAGCGGGGGCTTTTTCCCCGGGGGAAAAGCGGCCGGGGCATGAAGCTGACCACTCACTTTCAATTACTGTCGAGGTCAAGAAAATGTAGATCTATACACCACTCCCCCCATACGCCTTAATGGTGTAGTGCTTAATTAGTTAAGCACAGGGACAACTTTACTTTTTACACCTTTAGTANTAGTAGTAGTAGTAGTAGTAGTAGTAGTAGTAGTAGTAGTAGTAGTAGTAGTAGTAGTGATAATAACAGCAGCAGTGAATAAACATCATATTATAAATTTTCAGCCTTGTGCTGTAGCAGATTTCTTATTGGAACTTCTGAGAATGTGTATGGTGACAGATTGAGTTTTTCTACACTCCAGTCCACGTGGCAGTTAGTTAATGCTGTATTTCTGATTACTGACTTTAAGAACAAGCTAAGTTGCCAGTTCATTTCTTTACTGTTAGTTTACGCGTGCCGAATAGGTCAGAGCGAGAGACTTTTCAAATTTTGAATTTCGCCATGGCACAAACGTTAGGCTCTCAGTCAGATATGTTTCTGAGACAGATGCTCTATGCCATTAGTTCTCAACGGGGGCCATGTCGTATTTCGGAGGGGCCACAGGCAGAAGTCGGAAAAATGGGGGGTCGTGGAAACCGTTAAGTGGGCCACTTCTAAAAAAATTATTATAAATATAAAAAGAAATAAAAGTGTCAACTAGTTTTTGTGTACCTTACTAAGATGAGACGGGACTTATCCAGAATCTTGATTTAGTTGAATTCTTCATCTGCTATCACAGGTTCGTAACCGTCTCGATATTGTGGAGATAGGTGATACAAAACGTCCTTGTTCTCATCAGCCGCAAGGATTTCACTAAACCTAAGGGACAATAATGTTACTGTATTATTTTTTGTTAGGAGCATAATTATTTATTGTAAACAAATAAAATATTATACAAGTAAAAGTTCTATTATCAATAAAGACTGTAGTTGATAAATCCTTTTTCCCTTATTTATATACTATATATATATTTATTTATATAACTACTACATGTTATAAATAAAAGTGCAGTTGATAAAGTACATATTATAAATATTACCTTATAATTTAACAATATGAGAGGTGGGATCACAGAAGTGGGCCACGAGCAAAATAATGTTGATAACCACTACTCTAAGCAGATATACTGATATTTTAAAAGCTCTTTTATTTGTCTGGTCTGGTCTTATCTGCCTTGGTCTTCCTAGTGGACTCTTTCCTACTGGCTTTCCCACCAATATCCTACATGTATTCCTCTTCTCCTCAATTCGTGCTACATGCCTTACCCATCTCATCCTCTTTGACTTCATCATTCTAATTATATTTGGCGAAGAGTACAAGTTATGAAGTTCCTCATTATGCAGTTTTCTCCAATCTCCTGTCACTTCGTCTCTCTTTCGTCCAAATATTCTCTTCAGCACATTGTTCTCAGTCAAACTCAGTCTATATTCCTGCCTTAATGCCAGAGACCAAGTTTCACACCCATATAGAACCACAGGCAAGTTCATGGCGAATATATTATGGAATATTTATGATAATATTTAAAATAGAAGAATAACTACTATTAACCAAAAGTTTGGTGTAACTACAATAACATGACATATTATAATTTTTCACATGAAATGTATATGGTAGCATGTTATAAATATCTACCAGGAATATTATTGACACTGATAAGTCTAATTCTGAAAAATTTACCATCCCGTCGGTTAGTGCTTTTAGTACTTGTTACATTCAAAGAAATTCATCTGAAACTATACTACAAGTTTGAGCGAAGATTGCAAATGAGGCCTCTTGCTATATTTTTCCTTCTCTCACTGCATACTCGTATAATCACCTCAGCACGAGAGGTGCCTGTCCTTCCGCTGGACACCGGAGGACATCCAGACAATTTTCTGTCGCGTTTCTCATCACGCTTGGCGTGTGCCTGAACTAACGAGATTAGTTTGAAGTTACCAATTGTGACGAGCAATTATACGAGTGTCTTAAAGGGACAAAGAAACACCACGAGGCTACTGACACATTCGCCTGCTTACACAACCTAACTACTTTCATACCAGAACATCTTAGGACAGCCTATAAATACGAATATTATAGCATGTCCATCATCCAAGGATTAGGTTTAAACTTCTTCGTCCTCAAAAATTTATTCAGACCTTCCCTTCTTTGGTACTGAAGTTAATATTCCTCTAGCTTTATAAAGAGTGGCCGAAAAGCCAGTTAACCTAAAATATTCTCTCATATTAACGGGGATGTTCAGATTTAAACCCGCCACTTAAGTTCAGAACGGTAAGACAGCGTCGTGAGTTGCGCGTTGAACATGGAGGATCTCACGTCAAACAATTTTTGTACATTCACTAAATAATAAGACTATATCTCTAGTATTTTAATGTACATTTTATTAGCCAGGCAACTTACTTTTGGGTTATCTGTATTCCCATGCCCCTTTGATATAAGGCGTTGCTCTATTCGTTATTGGTTGTTGAAAAGTTGAACTTCGTTGTTTAAAATAAAACTTAACCAATTATTCTCCCAAACCTACATTTATCCTTTGATTAAGACAGAAAAAACTTCAGCAGATTCCAAGAATTTAATGTCGACTGCTCACATCTGATTTTGCTCTGTCAGTGTCACTGTCCATGTTTCGTAGTCATAAAATAATATTAGCTGACAAAACTCTGTACAGCTTAAATTGGCTGACCTTTCCAGCTTCCTTTTCAGTGAAAGTCTACCTGTTACTAACACAGAAGTGTGGTTAAAAAAAGTAAAGCTATCCCTGTAACAGGCCGTGGAGGCCCATAGGGTTGTGAGATGTTGAGGTTCCTTCAATTTCTAGACAATAGGCTCATAGATGGCGGTAAGGTTGTCAGCCTTACGCGCCGGCCGCCCTTTACTCCCAAGAATATTCCTCGTACTCATTTCTGTTAGAGGCTGAGTCGACCCCAAGGCCATAGTGCAGCTGGAAGGATTAGGTAAATTGAAAAAATCCAATGATCTCATCGGGATTCGATACGCGACCTTCCGGCTTGTAGCATAGTGCCTCAACCAACTACACTACCGCGTGCCTCCACAGAAGTGTGGGTACATTTTGAAACCTTATTTGATGCAGTTCGAAGTATCCGTTCTTCGAAAGGGATATTGTTTATTTTCTTTTCAATATCACAATATAGTAGTTAATATTTCAAAGAAAATAACGCTCAAATGAAGAAATTAAAATTTATTCATACAGATAAGGAGTTGGGAATGAGGATTCGAACCGTAACCAAAAGCTCTACAGCAACGGTTCACAGCATATTGGCAAGAATACGGAGTAAATTTCGTAATATTTTTGGGTGTTCCCTGTTAGAGTGCTAAAATATCTTTCTTCAGTAAATTTTCTTTTCTGCTTACTCGTGCAATATCTAACGTCGTCGTTTGTATATAAACAAGGACATCCTTGTCTTGGACTTCGTATTATTACAATCTATTCCTGATCACTCTTTGTTTGATCTATCAGATATCAGTAGGTAACTCCGGCCTGGACGGTCAGGGTTCGATTCCCGCCATAGACAAGATTTTTCTCTTTCACAGCGCCCAGACCGACTCTGTGGTCCACCCATCCTCCTATCTAATTGGTACCGGGGTGATTTACCAGCGGGTAAGCGTGAAGCTGACCACTCACTTCCATCTAGTTCCGAAGTCGACAAAGGTTAAGAATGATGAAGCTATACCTCCATTCCCACAAGTCTTCATGGCGTAGTTGGGACATTTGCTTTTTATCGGTTATTAAATATTACTTACGTTGTACTTTCTTCCTGTCAGCATTAAGGGTAATTACAACTTCATTATACTGATAGTGGTCTAGAAATATACAGATTGACCCTGCTAGACATTAATAACTTCACTTTGAAACCATAACCCCCAAGTTTCCTTACATCACTAACTACAAAAGAGGTAAGTGAAGATAATGCCCTGTGCTCTCCTACCAGCGTCGTTAAATAAATTACAAATTTAAGGAATTTCTCTTTGTTGTTGTCTTGTAACATTTTACCACTTAAAATTGCAGAATACACAGTTTACTTGTTGCACCTGCAATGAAAATTGCTGTCTTTGGGTTCGGTTCCAATGAACGGACTTGAAACGGAAAGTAAACAAAGGGGTTTGTGTTTCCTCGAAGGTCATTAGTCTCTTGGCTAAAACAAAGGTGAAGTTCGCTGTGTCCGGCTGACTTATTGTTTCGTGATACAAGCACACACACAGAAAAGGTCGTAAGATTTATACATACGTATTATTTCGATAGAGCGCACCAGTACAGTGACTGACCACGGGCTGCACGGCAGGCGTTCTATTTAGAGCAGGTTATTTTTCTCTTCGCCACTACGTCCCATACACCTGCGGGGCCCATCCACCCTCATATCCAACGAATACCTGATTCTTTAGTCAGGAGCTAAGTGGCCACATCTTGAGTCGAGGTTAAATTCACTCGTCCTTGAATAGGTCATTTTGATTGGCCAAGGAACATTCATTACGGACACGATGCATCATGATCGACTCACTGTTCGTCTCATAGGTCTCATGGGCCTACTGTGATTCACAGTTGAATTAAATCGCACATCTTCGCTATCCCTTACCAAGAAATGTCTCTCTTCAACTCGGAGATTAGCAAAATATTATAATTTAAGTTTTCCTTAAGTTCAGTAGGATCTTCTGAACTATATAACCTACATGGAGCTGTACTTCTCAGGAACGATTTCTACATTCTGCCTGGTTATTTCTTTCTTCCGATGACCTTTAAAGTTCATAATTTTATTATTATTTCTTTCATGGATCTTAGAGAGACAGGATGGGATTGCATGGATTGGATTGATCTGGCTCAGGATGGGGACCAGTTGAGGGCTCTTGTGAACACGGTAATGAACCTTCGGGTTCCATAAAATGCTGGGAAATTCTTGAGTAGCTGCATATTTGGCTTCTCCTCAAGAAGGGTTCGGCTCTGTAAGTAAGTATTCTTTCTTTCAGAGTGTTGAAGGGGATATTTGTGGCTAACAGGGTGAAAGTAACAGGACATCAAAGAAAACTGCACAATGAGCTTCATAATTTGTACTATTCACTACACATTATCAGAGCAATTAAATCATGGAAGCTGATAGGCGGACATGTAGCAAGCATCTGGGCAATAAAAAATGCATACAGATTTTTAGACATTTGGGGTTTCCATGGCAGTGAACCTTAAGAGTACCTGGGACATGATATCATGTAGCCTGGTAAAATTTACAGACGCTTCAGAAGAATTACTGCTTCAATTTTCAGGGTTGAAATGAGAGTTGATGAAGCAAGCAAGGAGATAGTAAATTCAATACTTGCTTGTGTGATTTGCTCTTTGACCCTGAAGATGGAGGCAATACATTCCTTCCAAATGTCGGTAAATTTCTACCAGACTACATGCCTTCACACTCCATACGTCACCAGTACAAACATTTTTATCAAAAAACCTTAAGGGAAGAAGTTACTTTGAAAACTACTCATGTACATATTACATGTGGAGATGACACCGAGGTGGACCTTTTCATGGATTGTATTTTATACATTTAGGTGACATTTTTACCTTCAAGCAATAATAGTCCTGTGCACTTTGCAAAGCATATTATGCCACAGATCCCCTTATCTCCTTGTTGGAAATAAAAAAATAAAATAGAAAAATAAAACCAAAGCACAAACTTATTCAAGCATTCTGGCATTCAAAATAAAACAAAAGTATTAAATCAATATCAATTAGTGCAATGAAATTCTCATTCTGAAAGAAAGTTTTGGGTATACAAAAACATTTTCGATTTTTATTAGTTCTGTTCTTATGGTGTTTGAAGTTTATATTCACATGGCACAAAAATAAGAAGGGCAAATGGGGGGGGTTTCCAGAGACCTATTCCTGACTGCTCTTGAAATAATAGTCCATTCAAAACTTATTTTCATCCTCATGTTTAATGTTGATATTTGTACAAAAAAAAACAATCAACAGTCATTTTAGAGAACTGGTACACACATTGAACTGTAAAAACAACTGATGTGTCAGAATTTCCCCTAGAGTGCAATGTTTCAAACATTATATTTATACCAAGATTGCATGCAAAAATGGAGTTACTGTCTTGGTTTGCAGAATTATCTTGTTAATTACACTACTGCTGCTGCTTAGTAGGCATCACCCCATTCCCTAAATTTTGCGGTTGATATACTTTTTATGTAACATAACAATTCACTGGATTTCATTTCTTTTTATCCCCAGTACCTCACATTCTGTATATACCAAGGCAATTTGATGGAATCTTTTCAGACCAGACATTAAGCAGAGACAGAAGGATGCATTACACTGAGCAACAATTTTTCTTCAGAGGCATTTTATGTTTCATGACACACTGAATACCCAGGCCTAGGATGAGATGGCCTGGGATTGTAGCACATATGTGGGCGAGGTGGAATGCACAGAGTTTTGGTGGGAAAGAGGCCATTAGCAAGACCTAGACACAGGTAGGATAATATTAGAATGGATCTTAGAGAAATAAGATGGGGTGGCATGGACTGCATTCACCTGGCTCAGAATGGGGACCAATGGTGGACTCTTATGAACATGGTAATGAACGTTCATGTTCCACAAATGTTGAGGAACTTTTGAATAGCTGAGCAACTGGTGGCTTCCTAAGAACTTGGAGCTATGCAGTTAGTTAGTTTAGAAAATACTGTTGCCCATATTGACATATTTTTTAAAATGGCTATTTTGTCATGTTGTCAGTATTGAGACTGTGTACAGTTTACTTTAGGACGAATACTGAATATGGAGCAGTTAGTGGCTATCCCATTATCTTACCACATATTCTACTCCACACTCAATGGCAATTTTCTGTTGCATTTTATGAAGTATATACCAAACTGAAAATCTTTCAAACATAAATTGTTGGTCTGAATAAGGGGCTAAATTTTGGAAAATCTTAAATTAGGGATATTTCTTAATGCAGATTTTTTAATTTGGGTCACTGAAATTGGGTGTTAAATCATAAAAGACTTTAAATCAAAGAATGTTAAAACATTAAATAGGGACGTCATTACATTCAAGATTAAGAGTCTTCTGAGATGACACCATGGGTGCTGACAAGGGGTAGAAATAGTACTAAATGGCTTAAATGTAAGTTTGTAAGCAAATTTGCTGGCAAATACAATATACTGCATACTTATTTTATTCAGTCAATTGAACAAGTTGGACAGAAATTATGTAAAGAAGAATCATAATAAACCGGAACAAACTCTCAATATTAACTTCCTTAAAGGGAGAAAAACATACATCTGCACTTTTGGGAACCTGAAAATTATTTTACATGTATATCTACAGCTTCAAACTGAGTAATTATACAATAATTATGTACACATATTCTTCATTATGTATCAGATGTCACTTGTTTCTCCCCATACAACTGTTCTGAATTCATACAAAACATTACAGCAAACATAACCTGTACAGTTACACTGCTCCCAAATCAACAATTCTCACCCCCAGGGAAACAGGAAATCCATACTGTTCAATGCTGTAACTCATGACCTGCTGAGTTTTTAAGCTAACACATTTAAAATGTGTTAAATATTTACCGTAGAATTTGATTTTAACTGTACCTTGTGGAAGCTATGGAGGCAAACAGTGATGTGACAGATATTCTTTGAGAAGCAGGACCAGGATTATAGCTTCCACACTATTTAATATCTGCATTCACATAACAGAAACATGTGAGAACTGGTATTATTTAGGGTTCTGTGGGTACAGAAACCCAACCAGTTTGGTGTTTGTGTCTGCTTGTCCTCTACTTCAATTAGGGGTAACAATATTACAGATGTTATTTGATCATTTTCAAGAATCTGACTATGAACACTGGGCCACTACAGGCACTACCATTACACTTTCAAGTTCCTGCCATCTACAATTCCAATATGGTGGCCATGTGAATTTGTAAGGTTGAACAACTCTTATCACCACACTATATATGTGTGGAAGTTCAGTGTCAGAATCTTGCTGTGAACATGGCAATTAACCTTTGGGTAACATAAGAGTGGGAACTTCTTGACCATCTGAGTGACTATGAGCTTTACAAGAACTCTGCTTGAAGACAACAGTAATCTTGTTGTCCACTGTAATACCATCTGTGAAATATATTGCATTCAATTTACAGATTATCCAACAAAACTGCATAACTGAAGGGCTAATGTAGTGTCAGATGATAGGATAATTATTTATGGAGAACACTTTAATAACCTTCCTACTTCACTGATAAATATAATAATATGATTTCCAATTTGAAAATATGGACGCAGAGTTCACAAGGAGGGGGGAGAGAATGATCATGACTACGCTCTTCAATTTGCTTGGAATGGCTATGGCAAATCATGATAAAACTCAGTACACAGGTTATAGCTGAGATTCCACCAGAATGTACATCAGACGAGTTGCCACCCGATTCTATCGGCGAAAAGACTGGCAAGTCAACAGTACAGCATGTTTCTAACCACACCATTATGAGTAAAGAATACTGCAAAAATACTGAGTGAGTGACAAGATTAATTGTGTAAGCTGAACTGGCAGACTCACACTGGAACCTGAAGGGTTTTATGTTCTGCAAAATTACTATGCTCACTATTACATACATAGCATAAGTTGTCACCACTTTGAAGGACTTTGTTCAACATGTTAACACACCACTTCTGTCTCAATGTCAATTTTTATAGCAATGTAACTGCAAAGAGAGAGCCAGAAGAAGAGAAAAGTGTGGTTTAGCATAGAGTGAACATACTTTTCCCAAAAGCAGGGGTGGAAGTGGACTCTCCACTCATAATTTGCAAATTTCTCAGGAGTATAGATCTGTTGGTGATGTAAGCAGTTTGCTGTTTGTTACTTAAAGATGCTGTCAGTATTAAGATTATACAGTGTTGATGATATGACAATGAATATGGAGCAGCTCGTGGAATGAGAACTGGGATAGGAAACCAAGGTACTTAGAGAACCTACCCTAGTGCCACTTTGTCCACCATAAGTTCCACATTATGTAACCCACGGTGAAACCCAGTTCATTTCTCCCTCATTCAAATATTCTCCCCCTGAATCACCATAATCTGGTATCAGCACATCTGAGTTGTCACACTGTAACAATTCTATGTGGTCCTTTCCAATGCATCTTTAACTGCCACTAACTTCTCTTTCATTTCCTAAACACTAACGGTGGAAAAGTGTAATTTAATACTGTGATGGAATAATCCATTACTAGGCAACGGATTGGTAAGCACCACCTGAAAGCCGGAATAGTAGAGCCAAAGCAGACGTTCATTGCTGAGCAACGGCTCGGAAATCACATCACCGCTACAACGAATAGCAACAAATGAGTTGTTGCTAGGTAGCAAGTTGCTAAACACAGATACCCACGACAAAACTGAGGTGGTGAGCTATATTCGGGCAGTATGAAAGTTATAAATTGGGAGCATTTGTCAGACAGGAGCCGTAATTCAGAAGTCAGTTCAATATGTGAGCAGTGACTTGTCATTTGTTACAGTAAAGAGGAGACACTCATAGTCCAATAAGGAATGGAGTGAGTTGTAGACAGTCAATGATTGTGAGCTGTTATAACTGATTGTAATTGTAAAGAAGTGTCAACAAATCCAACCATCAAATCCAGAATCCATTATTATTAGTCACACAAACCCAGATATGTGACAATATATAGAAACTTCAGACCTACTACTGGATTTCATTCACTTCAAGTTTTGCATTATGTTTATGGGATGAANACAGTAAGGAATGGAGTGAGTCGTAGACAGTCAATGATTGTGAGCTGTTATAAATGATTGTAATTGTAAAGATGTTTCATTATCTCTATACAGTCTGAAATGTAATATTCCAACTGTCCCTCCCAGATATGTGACAATATATAGAAACTTCAGACCTACTACTGGATTTCATTCACTTCAAGTTTTGCATTATGTTTATGGGATGAAAATTCATAGCAGGTCAAACATGACACCAGCTCTTGAATAAACTGCATATTACCATTTTTTGCAAGTGTCTGAACTTCATCTGAATTAATCTGGGAAACATTTTTTAATATCTTCATTATCTCTATACAGTCTGAAATGTAATATTCCAACTGTCCCTCTAAGCCAGTTAGATCATAAGTTATAAAACAATAACAAAAAGGAACAAAACCGTAGTGAACACAAAAAGTTTTTTGGATTACAAAAACCAGTTATGTTTACACAGGAATTAGATAGAAACAAAAGGCAGGCAGAAATGGAGACCACTGAATGATATAATTTTGTAAGAAGAAAACCTGAAAGAACCTTAAATAACTGTAGCAAATGATGATTCTTCAGTGAAGATTTTTAATCCCAAATTTTTTGGTAAAAATTAAATTACTACAGATACAACCATTGCACACAGTTTAAAAATCCATAAATAAATCTTGATATGATATTTCAAATTTGCAAGTGAAAAGGCTGAAATATTATCAGGACTGGGAAATGAAGTGCCTTGATTGCCAGTGTAGGACAATGGATAAGGGGTTGTAGTGGGGGGGGGGGGCATATGTTTCATGAAAACATATCACATCTGCTGAGTTGAGTTTCCATTCCAAGTGTTGTTCTCATCGTCATCTGGGTCATTACGGTTTGTAAGACGATGTATGTTGCCCTCACGACGAATGGCTGTTGTTTCAGCAGTTGGTGTACGTCGCCTTGCACCTCTACAAATAGAAGATTATATAACAATATATCATAATTATTAAGTGTGTCTTTGAATTTGTAAACCGTGTGACAAGACTCACGTAGGATTCTGTGTAGATGCAGGATTTGGAGGTGACGACTGTTGTGTGTTTCTGCCTCTATTGTTGCTGCTGCTGCTGTTGCCGCCACCCAATGAAGCTCCGCGGCCTCCACTACCAAACACCCAGTTTCGTAAGTAGCTCAATATGGAAACGAGCGGTGTCAGCAGAGACCACACCATCTGTGAGATGGCCCAACTGTACCCACGAGATGATGTGACCACAGTGCCTGAGGAAGCCTGGAAAAATTCATCTCTCAAGACCCATTACCATATTTTTATATATAAATAAGAAGCAGAGAAAGAATATGAACTTTTCAAAGAATATCCATAAAATTTTGAATCACCAGATGGTTACAAAATTCTACTCAGTGCCCTCAATTTTTCATTACCTTGCACAACAGGCATTTGTTGCAACTGCTACTCAAAAGCCTTGTTATGTCTTTGTATACAGATATATTTTCAATACATGATAAATTAATATTACCACATATACCAGAATATACAAAGTTTGTATGGGAAAGTGCACCGTCATGATGCCTAATCCACTTGTAGAACAAAAGATATCACAAGTTTCAACAAATGCGACACCTAAAGCATTCCAACACATGAAGAAATAATGGTTAGTTAAATTCCTGGCAGGGACAGAGATTTGTCTCTTCACCACCATTTCCAGTCTGCATATGGGACCTGCCAAACTCCTGTATATAAGGTACCAAGGATTCTCTCCCAGGGATAATGTGGCCAGGGTGTAAAGCTGACCACTTACTTCCATGTAGTACTGTGGTTATGCACGTGTGTGTGATGCTATACTTCCACTCCCCAATACACCTTCATGGAAAGGTGCTTCATTAAGCACAGAGACAATTTCATGTTTCAAATTTTAATTTCTATTATTGTGGATTTTGTAGCAAGGGATTAATTACAACGTATTTCTAAGAACAGCTGAATGAAGAATGAAAAATGCATTTATAAATTCTTCTTAGGAATTCAAGTCTCTCCTATAATCCCTCGACTGGACATGCAGAAAACACAGCTTGCTCCACTGTTGCTTAAATGTCATGTCTACAGAGGCATTGTTCAGCAACGCGTTGATTAGCTGTTGCCGAGATGTGTTTACTGCAGTGCTGTGTAACAACAAGCAAGGTGTGGCTCAGCACAGCACAGAACAGAGAAAACACTGTTTTCCTTATTGTTGCATAATCGCTCTGGCTAATGATTCTTGCATGGCATAAATATGCCACAATATTTTTACATTTTATATTTTAGTATTTTGGTGTAAACATTGGCCAATGGAGGGGAATAACAGCAGGAAACTAGAGCACTGATGTAATATAACTTACCTGATGATGGGCTGAATGGCCAAAAACATGTTGTAGAGTGAAAAATGTATAAATATACTAATATTTAATTTATAAATGAAGTGTGTCAACAAAGCATATAATCATTACACTTAGCCTAGACCTTCTTCTACACTTTTATTCAGACACACCCCGCACCTTTCAAAGATTTCTCTCATGATACTTTCTATGATTATAATAAATTACATTAAATGCAGAGATTAAGAAGCTGTATTATTACAAGATTTAACCATAGTGACAAATATGATATAATTAAAACCTGCATCTTCTTTCAGGTCAGGAAATAGTATGCTAATAAAGAAAACCTACATTCAATATACTTGTGTATCAGAACATTCAATCTCACCGGCAGAATTAAAATCACAGCACTTGGCACCAGATGTGCATCACTGACAGTTTGACAATCATCAGCAGCAGTGAACTCACGACGAGGAAAGGTCGTCGACATAATAAATTCCCTGCAATAAGAATAAGGAAAATGTAAATACCACAATGATATATTTTACATCACCAGGACATGAAAGCCTTCAAAAGAGTTTTCTGGGTTGGTAAAAATCATTTGATTTTCTTATATAGATGAAAAGTTAATTTGCAACAGATCTGAGACAATAGCAATAGAATGTTTAGAATATTAGTTTGTTATTAAAATAAATCTCTTCAGGTTTGTCATTAAATAATTGTATAAAAACTGTGATCACCAAACAGCAAGATTTTCAAACTGCAGAAAACTTGACTTCATACGTATTTTTTAGCATATTTTCCTTATTTGGAAATAATAAAAGTAGGCTTACGAGATCACCATTCTGACTGTGTGTCTGTGATTCCCCCTTATTAATTTTCAATGCCTGAACCAGTCTTTACGAAACTTGGTATGTATAAGGAGTAGCCAAATGAAAATGGGTCACCATGCATAACTCACACGGCACACAAGTTGGTAACACTGGAAATTGCTTATGGTATGAACATCTGGTGGGGACTTGGGTAAAGAAGAACAGTGAAGTGTAGTGCGCTTTTTGAATGCGAGAAATTCATCATTGCATAAGAGACTCCAAGACGGACGTGTGTCGCTGCAAGATGATGCTCGCCTAGGACAGGCTCATCATGTCACCTCTCCTGATGTTATTGCTGCATTGGATGGTCATATCTGGGCATACCGATGGATCACTGTGGAAGAAATTAGTGTTTTGATGGAAATAAGTCACAGTTCCATACACACCATTGTGACAAAACACCTGCTGTACCACAAAATCTGTGCGCAGTGGGTTCCACATCAACTCGTGGAGGAACAGACAACTCAGAGAATGGCTGCATAACTGGGTCACTTGCAATGATGTCATGAGGAAGAGTATTCTTTTCTGTCCCATACTGTCACAGGGGACGAAACTTGGTGCCACCATTTTAAACCCGAGAGCAAATGGCAGAGCCAACAGTGGAAACACATGAATTCTCCCCCACCGAAGAAATCCAAAGCCAACACACAAGTTCCGGTAAAGTGATGATGATGATGATGTTCTTCTTCGACTGCAAGGGCCCTGTGTTTGTCCAATTTCTCGAGCATGGG